CTGGTCCAAGTGTCTGGAGAGAGGGAAGTCTGGGTCTCTCTGCTTAGGCTGCTGCCTCCGAGACCTGACCCTGGATAAGAGGAAGAAAAGGGATGTATAAACATTCATGTATAGAGTTTGCACAAAAATAAGAAAATTTGTGTTTGTCTTCTTTTTATAACAATGATTTTTGGCAATAAATCTTATTATTGGCATCACCTGGAGATATCAGAAGCTTAAGACAAGAGTCAATAGCAAAAACAAAATTAATTTTTTGCTAGAGAAGATTTGGCAAATTGTCATGTGTGCAACCCACATACTCAGTTCTGCTGCTCATCACACAAACACATATTTCTTATAAATGTGACACTATTCAAAAGTCAAATAAACATGTTTTCCATTGGAATGTTTTATATACATTGGACACAACTTCTAGATTGAATGTTTTTTTATGTACAGGGCCTTGTGACTTGGCACTATAGAAACATTTGAATTATATTCAACCTCCTACGAATTAGGATTATTTCCTGCCATCTTCATAAGTGAAACTCCAGACCAATGCAGTCAAAGATGCCAATTCTTTTCTGTTACAGGTGTTGAAGAGCAGCAGAGACCAGAGAGTCTCAGGATTGTTCTGATTGGGAAGACCGGCAATGGGAAGAGTTCATCAGGAAACACTATTTTAGGAAGACGTGTATTTGAAGCCAAACCAAGTCAAAGATCTGTCACCAAGCACTGTCAAAAACGACACAGTGTGGTGTACGGTCGTCATGTTTCTGTTGTGGACACTCCTGGTCTGTTTGACAGCACTTTGTCTACTGCAGAAGTTAATAAAGAAATGTTGAAATGCATCAGTCTTCTGGCTCCAGGACCACACGTCTTCCTGCTGGTGATACAGATCGGCAGATTCACAGAAGAAGAAAAGCAGACACTCAAACTTATAAAGGAGGGTTTTGGGAAAAAATCAGATTCATTCACCATTATTCTTCTTACAAGAGGAGATGTACTAAAACAAAATAATCAGTCCATTGAAGATTACATTGAAAAGGAATGTGATGACTCCTTTAAAAATCTTATTGATGACTGTGGAGGAAGATACCATGTGTTTGATAACAATGATAAGACAAACCGAGCACAAGTCATGGAGCTGTTAGCTAAGATTGAAACCATGGTGAAGAAAAATGGAGGCAGCTGCTTCACCAGCCAGATGCTGCAGGAAGCTGATGATGCCATAAAGAAAGAAACAAAGAGAATCCTGCAGGAAAAAGAAGAAGAGACAAAGAAAAGTATTAAGGAACTGGAAACCAGACATCACAAAGAAAAGGAGGACATGGAAAGAAAAATGAGAGAGCAGAGAGCAAAAACTGAACAAGAGATTAAACAGAAAGACATGAAAATCAAGGAAATGATGGAAAAAATCCAGGAGGTGAGAGATGAAAAGAAGAAAGAACAAGAAAGAAGACAGGAAGAAGAAACCAAGAGGAAGCGTGAGAAGCAAGTTTTGGAGGAAGAGTTTGCAGCATTGAAGAAAAACAAATCAGAAGAGGAGCTGTTGATGCGCAAAGCATCCATCAGGATGCAACGTGAAACTCTGAAGAAACAAAGGAAAGTCTTAAAGGAGAAACGAAAACAAGAAGATGAACAGAGACAACAGAAAGAACAAAGACTGCTGAAAGAATATGAACAGGAAAAACAGGAATTTGAAATGAAAAAGAGAGAGCATGAAATCAGGAAAGAAAAGGAGAAGAAGGAAATTGCAGAGCTGCAAAAAATCTATGAAACAAGAATTAAAACACTAAAAGAAACTCATGAGGATGAAGCAAGAAAAAAAGCTGAGGAACTGAATGAATTCAAAGAGAAATACCTCAAAGAGTTTACAGCTCAGAGAGAAGAGTATGAGAAACAACTGAAAGATAAAGATGAAAAGTATGATCTGCTGCAGGCGCTCAAAGCCCACAATGAAAAACAAACCAGAGATAAGCACAAAGAGGAAATCAATGCGCTGGTCCAATGTGTGACAAATAAGAAAGAGAACTTGAAAAAAATCAAAGACATGCTAATAAGACATGAGACCCAAACAAAACAAGTGAAATCTCAGGAGGAGATGGAAAACCTGCAGAGAATTCATGACAGAGAAATAAGTGACTTGGTTCAGCAACTTCTGAAGGAAAGTGATTCAAAATCTTCCTGTTCCATTCAGTGAGGATTGATCCAGAACTGAACAGATCATTATAGACCACACTGGACTTCTGGATCAGATCACCTTTATTCTAAATGTTGGATGGATAATGGAAGGATGATGGATGGATAATGGATGGATAGATGTATGATGGTTGTATGATGGATGGATGTATGATGGATAGATTGATGGATGGATGATGATGGATGTATGATGGATGAAAGATGGATGATGGATGAAAGATAAATGGATGGATGGATGGATGGATGGATAGATGGATGGATGGATGCATGATGGATGGATGGATGTTTGATGGATGGATGAATGTTTGATGGATGGATGGATGTTTGATGGACTAATTTTATTAATTCCAGCTTTAAATGATGAATATTCAAGTTTTTCTAAACAGAATTTTAACCAATTTAATAAAAGTTTAATATGAAAATAGTTTTTTTAATATATTTTGACTCAATTTCACAATAAACAATTTACAGTTTAAAATTAAGTTTTTATGTAAAAAAAAAACAATTGGATTCATTTTTATCACATCTGGTTAATTAAAAAAACTTGTGTCTATTTCTTGTATTTTAGTAACTAGTGAAATATTTTTTTGTAATAAATAAATATGTTAATTTTTCCTTTTTATTTTCTGATATTTTTAAAACATCAGAACATTTGTTCCGTGAATCAGGACGTGTTTTCCAGATGATTCTTTTCTGAACTGAATTAGAATTTTGGGCTGACCCTTATCATATTTGCGTTAAAGCATATTTTTCTTGTTTAAATCAGATTATTTGAATCATTTGAGACACAGCTCTGCTGCATGAAGGTGACTCTAACAGCTGCTGGTTTTACAAACATGTTGTACTTTTGAGAAGAACATTTCTTTCATTGAATCACTCATTACGTATAATTTTAATAAAATCAAACACTGTTATTAAATGTAGTTCAACATGTCTTCATTTACTTTTATTAGCTTTTATTCCTGAACAAACCTGGTTGTTTTTCTTTTTCTTTTTTCGTTATAAACTTTATTCATTTCATAAAACAAAATTATATGTACAATAAAAAAAAACACAAATAAAATGAAATGAAAGGTGGCGGAGAGAAGAAAAAATCTTATAATATCTGCCCCTTTTCTCTCAAATATAGATTCAATCTATAAGGATCTTCAGTTAACAAATCAAAACATTGAAATGTTCTAGAACAACAAAGTGAATGCCTTCATATTAAACCATTTCATGTTATTTTAACAGTCCAGTCTTTATCATTCTCTTAAATGTGCATATTGATGTGGCACTTTTGACATCGTCTTCTAAATTATTCCACAGTGTCACTCCTTGATTTGAGGTGCATCATTCTTTCAAGCATGTTCTAAATTTAGGTTTCATGAATATCTCTATTCCCTTAAGATTATAACAGCTCTCTCTCTTTGTAACATTTATCTGAACATTTAAAGGTAATGCATTTCATTGTGCTTTATACATAACTAACAAAATATGATCAATCAAATCATAGAATTTCATTAATTTCAGTTTACAAAATAATATATTAGAGGGATAAAGGTAATGTTTTCGAGTGACAACTCGTATAGCCCTTTTTTGTAAAATAAAAACAGGATGTGTAATAGTCTTACATGCTTTCCCCCATACCTCAACACAATAGACCAAGTGTGGAACAATTAATGTGTTATATAACTTATACAGAGCTTTATCAATGAACAAGTCCCTTACTTTGTAAAGAAATGCAATAGATTTTGCTAGTTTTGTTCTTAGATAATGAGGTTTCCATGTAGTTTCTCATCAATAACATCCAAAAACTTTGCCTCAGTGACTCTACTAATATCTACACCAACTCTGAATGGTATGTCAACAGTTCCTCGTCTCTTTTGTAAATAACATAATTAGTTTTGTCCAAATGTAATGATAATTTGTTGAGTTTAAACCAGTTTTGTATTTTCACAAATTCTGCTTGCATTTTCTCTGACATTCATTCTAGATCATTACCCAAACAAAAAAAGTTGTTTCATCAGTAAGAAAATGCATTTAAACTAGATACTGCATAGCGGTAACATAATGAGCCCCACACGCAGAAATGCACTGGAACTCAGAAGTCTTTAATCCTAATAAATGTCATGCTACTAGGTGCATCCCAAAATTGTAGTGGTTTGGGTGGGGTTGGTTGACCTGATGGATAGCCCCTCATCAGAACTAAATAACCAACGAAAATTTGAAGCTCCTATGTTTAATGGTTTTTGAGCAATAGCCATTTTTGTATGTCCAGATACCCCGTTTTCAAATAAATTGGGGGTCCGGGGTATGGTGGGGGGTGGGGGTGGAGCACTGGTTTGTGGGCCTGATGGATAGAGCTTCATCAGAGCTAAACAACAAAAGAAATCTGAAACTTCTATGTTTAATAGTTTTTGAACAATAACCATTTGGTATGTCCAAATACCCCTTTTTCAGATAAATTAGGGGTCCGGGGATGGGGAGCACTGATTGGTGGGCCTGATTGGATAGACCTTCATCAGAGCTAAACAACAAAAGAAATCTGAAACTTCTATGTTTAATAGTTTTTGAACAATAACCATTTGGTATGTCCAAATACCCCTTTTTCAGATAAATTAGGGGTCCGGGGATGGGGAGCACTGATTGGTGGGCCTGATTGGATAGACCTTCATCAGAGCTAAACAACAAAAGAAATCTGAAGCTCCTATGTTGAAAAGTTTTTGCATGTCCTGACACCCCCTTTTTGAAAGGAGCCCCCTCCTCAAATATGGGGTCTATTGTAAAACCGTTGGCTGGCGCAGTGTAGGTCAGACTCATCTACAGTCCTGCCAAATTTCATGTTGATCTGTGAGACGTTTTTGTGCTATGGTTGACCAAAAATCACTGAAAATAAATGAATTAATTAATTAATTAATAAACTGTATGAGAACAATATGACTCTCGCTTATGCTTCACGTGCGGGGCTCATAATAATCCTGATACATTGACCAAGTCATTCACATATAAACAATTTTGGTCCAAGTACAGAACCCTGAGGAACTCCACATGTGATTTCACAGAGTTCAGATCTTACATCATGTACTTACTATTTTCCAAATAACTAGATATCCACTGTAATGCTGGACCTCTAATCCCATATTTATTTAGTTTTCCAAGGAGAATGCTGTGGTCAATCGTGTCAAATGCTTTCTTTAAATCTACATAAATACTGGCACAATATTGTTTTTTGTCAATAGTTTTTTTTCCTGAGGGGGACATAAACCTGACAATCATCTGCATAAAAGTGAAATGAAATTCCATGCTGTCTAAAAATGGACCCAAGTGGAAGCAAATAAAGACAAAAAAGAAGGGGTCCTAAGACTGAATCCTGTGGGACTCCACATGATACAGGAGCAGAAGAGGACACATGATCCCCAAGGCTGACACAGAATGTTCTCTCACTAAGATAAGATCCGAACCACTCCAGTGCTGTGCCTCTAATGTCCACCCACTGCTCCAAAAGAGAAAGTAAAATCTGATGGTCCACAGTGTCAAAGGCAGCAGTTAAGTCTAAATCACAAGAATAACCCAATCTCCAGAGTCAGTGGCCAAATATACTGTATATCATTAAAAACTTTTAAAAGGCTTGAATATGTGCTGTGTAGTGATTTAAAACCAGACCGTAACACTTCTAAAATATTTTGCTCTTTCAAAGAGCAAAATAATTAAGAAGAATAATTAAGAAGAAGTGAGCAGCAGAGCAGGTGGAATAAATTCATTAACACAATGTTTATTTCATGAGTGAGTTTCACTCAACACCCGTCAGGTTTTACCTTTAACTCTTTTCTGTGAGTTTAAATCAAGAAACTTTATTGATTAAATTGACTTTATTTGGTTTGAATGACATGATTTGGTTAAAAAATACATTAACAAACAATTCTTTATTCCAGACTCAAGAGTCTGAAGTTCAGATGAAATGAACCTGAACTTTGATCTGACTGCGGTGATAGTGATACAATAAAAAAATAAAAATAAAGATAAAACCTTCAGGAGGAACTGAGCAGGTGATTAAATTCATTATATTGTTTATTTCAGATTGTTTCAGAACACATTCTCATCCAAAACCAGATTTTAAAAAGACGTGTAATGTGAAGTAATTTCTGAATCTCTACCATCCACTGCTCCTGCAGTCTGACTGCTGAGCTCCTGCAGACATGAGGGGGTTTGTGGACAAGTAGAAGAGTCGTGTTGAGGCTGAAAACACGTGAATGACATGATGCAGATGAAGCACCTTCATGTTTCGTTCTGAACAATGAGGGGTTCACTGTCTGAGTGTCTCAGAGACCCCCTATCTGACTGCAGGCTGGTAAAATAGAAGCTCTGACTCTTATTGGAGGATGACTGCTGTGACCTCTGAAGCTGTAAGAACATGACGTTAGTGTTCCTGGTCTGTAAGTCTGATGGGCACTCTATTTGACTACTTTAGAACACGTAGCAGAAAAGTTTCCTGTTGACACAGTGCATTCTTGTAGGAAAACCTGTGCTGCAAACTTGAGAACTTGTGCTGGAAGAATGGAATAATTAAAAATAATCTTAATAAACCTACAAACAAGACATCTGTGCAGTTTTAATGAAAGGAACGCTCAATTTGACAAATGTTGTCATTCATCTAAAATATGTTATTAACATTTATTTAACCAGAAAGAACTCACGAAGGTCATAAATCTCTTTGGACAGAGAGGCTTGAAGACAGCCTGATGTAAAAGTTTTATCTTTTATTTTTTAACAAAATAAATGCTTTTAAGGATTTGAGAAAATCAAATTTTATGGATAAATTTTTTAAATGTTTGCCAAAGTGCATTCTTTTTTTCAAACAAAGCAAAAATATCCAGCACCGTCTCATCAGGCATCCACTACATGTCCAGCTCATCAGTTTTGAGTTCTTCTAACCTCATGGGGATGTTAAATGACTCCAGTAATTTCCATTAGTTTCTATATCCTAACCCTGACCCTTTACTCTAAAGTTAACCACTCCAGTAGCTACCTGACCCTAAATCTGGCATAAACTTAATTCACACCTTGGTCCTAATCAGCCTCTAAATTCAGTCCCCACAAGGCTGCAATTTCCTGAAAAATCATCCTCACCAAGCAGCAAAAACAT